TCACAATAGGCTTGAATGTGCCTAAAACGAAAGATAGAGAGCACAGACGGATTTCTGCACAGCGGCTTCAAACGTTGATAGCGTTCTGCTCACAGCTGCAAATGACTTGATTCAAATTGGATCTGGAGCGTCTTTACGTCGTCTACAATTATCAATTTAGATTGCACGATTTGATAAAGAATTGACGACACAGCGTCGGTTTGAACGAACGGTACTATGGCAGCCACTATAGTCTTAGAACACAATATAGGAAGAGTTACGAGTTGGGAATGACTCCCAGCTCCTACAAACCCCAAGAGCCGAGGTACAGTGATGTGGAACAGTGCCACACTGTCCCCAACCACGAAGGGTCTCGAAACTACCCTTCACTAGGGCCTACACCAAGTGAAATGTTACACTACACAAAGTAATGTAACTATCTTCAATATCTTGAGGTGTACCCTTTTGGCAAGCTTCGAAATCACTTGAGGCTTGACACCAAGGCTCGGGCTCTTCATCACAAACTCATCCTTGAGTTCTTGATGGGTCTGCTGCACACACCTGCGACACGCCGAACGTTCGACACAGGACAAAATAGAAACCGCGCACGACAAAATAGAAACCGCGCGCGAGACACAAACGACCGCGTAACACGCGTCTAGCGATAACTCGCTATTGACTCGACACACACACTCGACATCATGACTCAACATTCACACACAATTATAAGCATGAAATATATATATTATCCCATGCCCTCATACCATTCCATACACACACACATTCACGCACACGGACAACAAGCCGAGTGCAAACCGTAGGGTTGCACCAACAATGCATACATGGCAGCAAGGATAGCATCATAATCAAGAGCAAAGATATCCACACCCTGCCTAAGCAGCTCTGCCCAGCGGGGGAGCTCAGTCGCGTCGGGAAACTCTGCGCGAAAGGCGTCGTCAAGACGGGAGAAGCAGCGGTGCTGGGTGTGAAACTTCCTGCATGTCTGACCAGAGCGGTCACCTGTGCGAATGACATACGGGCAGCGACCACTACCCCCAGACGCCCCACGCTGAGCAAACCACTCACGAAGCTCCTGGGGCGAAGGGGTCTCACGCTGACGCTGCTGCTGCTGCCTCTGACCACCGCCAAAGCCTCCCCTCTGACTTGTACCACCCCGGCCGCCACCACTGCCGCCGCCCCCACTCCCACCGCTGCCACCACTGCCGCCGCCACCACTCCCACTGCCGCCACCACCGCCGCCACCTACGCCTCCACCCCCACCACCACTCCCTCCGCCACCACCGCCACCTCCACCGCCTCCACCGCCCCCACCACCGCCTCCACCGCTGCCACCCCCACCGCCCCTGCCTCCCCTGCCCCTGCCACTGCGGCGCCTCCCACTAGGGGCAGACGCAGCTCCTACCTCCTCAGCACGAATGTAGTCAACAGCTGCAGCAGAGGCGACTGAGGGGACAAGGGGGGAGGGCGAACACCCCTCAAATAAGGGAGTGCGAGGAGTGCCACGAGAAGCGCCTACAGCGACTATGCTAGTCTCAGCTGCTAGGAGGTGCTTCTCGAGCAGGTCGACAGTGAGGTCTGTGGGGTCAAGGGCGAGAAGGAGGTCCCTGACTGCGCTAAGAGAGTCAGGGAGGCGGGTGACTATGAAGTAGAGAGTGATGTACATGGGAGGAGGGTTCTTGGCGAGGAACTCGGCGGAAACCGCAGCACGGTAGCGAGTGTCACTAGTGCGAAGGTGAGTGGCGAGGTCGGCGACTGCGGCAAAGGCGGACAGCTCGGGGAACAGGTAGGGGAGGAGAAGGCGGTCTAGAGCAGCAGTGGCCGGGGAGGAGTAACGAGCGACTACAGCGCCGTACAGGGCTCTAGCAGTCTTGTGCTGGCCAAAGTGAGCGCGTTCGGCTAACGGCAGGTGGTTGCGAACGGCTAGGCGAGCAGCAGCGTCACGGGTAAGCCACTGTGAGCGAGTCGCACTGTCAGCTGTGGCGGCAGGGGCGAGAGAGACTCCAGACGTGAGGTCAAACAGCGAAACACCATCCCTAGAGTCGCTCAATAAGTACAGTTGTAAGTCGTCGAGCCACGCATCGAACTCTATCTGGCGGCCCTCCTGATCGAAGGTGAGGACGCTGAGAGTGGCCATTGTGGGCAGAGCAGTCGGGCGAGCTAGCAGCAGGGCAGCACGCAGGCAGGGCAAGGCAGGGCGGCGGCCAGCAGGGCGACGCACAGGCAGATCACGGCAGGGCGGCGCGGCGGCGAGCGGCGCTCAGGCAGGGCGGCGCGGCGGCTAGCGGCGCGCGGGCAGGGCAGAGCGGCGCGGCGGCGAGCGGCGCGCGGGCAGGGCGGCGGCGCGGCGGTGAGCAGTGCGCGGGCAGGGCGGCACGGCGGCGAGCGACGCGCGAGCAGGGCAGGGCGCGCGGCAGCGAGCAGCGCGCGGGCAAGGCAGGGCACGCGGCGGCGAGCGGCGTGCGGGCAGAGCGACGTGGCGCGGCGGCGAGCGGCGCGCGGGCAGGGCGGGCGCGCGGCGGCGAGCAGCGCGCGGGCAGGGCAGGGCGCGCGGCGGCGAGCGGCGCGCGGGCAGGGCGACACGGCGCGGCGGCGAGCGGCGCGCGGGTAGGGCAGGGCGCGCGGCGTCGAGTAGCGCGCGGGCAGGGCGGCGCGGCGAGGAGTGGCGCACGGGCAGATCAGGGCGCGCGGCGGCGAGCAGCGCGCGGGCAGGGCAGGGCAGGGCGTGCGCGGGCAGCGCGACGCAGGGCAGGGTAGGGCAGCGCGGCGCTAACAGGGCGGCGCGACGTGTGGGGTAGCGCGATTCGGTGGGCCCCTAAAAAAAATCGGTCCTAGGCTAGGACCTGCTCTGAAACCATGTCAGCAGAATGAACGAGAATGGAATGAACTAGTAGCATGCAGGAGTACAAGTAGCTAACCCTAATTGGGTTGTACCCCATATGGGCTACCCACTACAGCCTACACAACATGCAGCATATAAGTTTGACAGCCAGTAGCATAAAACCACCTGGACCTGGAGCGCGCCCTACAGTACTTCATATCCACACCTGACATCGGGCTCTCCTACTCCACGCTGACAACAACATCTTTCAACCTCACTGGCTACGTGGACGCAGATCACGCCGCTGACCCTGCCAATCGACAGTCACGAACCGGCTTTGTCTTCCGCCTGGAGCCAACTGGCCCAATCTCCTGGAACTCGCAGAAGCAGGAACTGGTTGCCCTGTCATTAGCCGAAGCAAAGTACATCGCCGCAACGGCTGCAGTTCGCGGAGGACTATACCTGCAAGAGCTACTGCAGGAGGCGAAAATCCCAACTTCGCCTACATTTCGTCTTCACTGCGACAACCAGAGCGCCATCAAGATCGCGAGCAAGCCAGGGTTCGTCAATTGAACGAAGCACATCGCGCTCCGTTACTTTTTCGTCAAGGACGAAATCGACCAAGGCAAGGTTAACATTGCGTACTGCCCCACCACCGAGATGACAGCCGACTTCCTCACCAGGCGACTGCCACGTCAGCAGTTCCAGCACTGCTCCAATCTGACCAGAGTAGTCAAGCGAGTCAGCCCCCGACACATGCAGGAATGAAGGGGAGTGTTGCGATTTGAAACTTAATGAGAAGGCATCCCTGTACGGTGCACAAGCCGACTCTACCGAGTACGAAGTCGAGGAGTCAGAAGAGTCGAAGCGACACCAGCAATCGTCAGATCAAGACCGATGCAGGCAGAAACATTTGAAGTGAAAAGAGCGGGAACAGGTTGAAACGGGTTCCCGCGCCGCACAGTTAGAACTTCGTTGTAATAAGGGAATGTACCCCTTAGAGTACATGGCTAGTCTAGGTCGTTTCGTATTTCTTTGTATTTCTATATAAACTCGATGTATGCATGCTTTTATTATCTCAGTCATTTACATTCACTATAACACTTCCGCTGCAACAAACTACCTGCGATCAACCCTGAGCCGATCCCTCGCTAAGTCCCTTTTAGGATTGTAAAATATTTCTAACATTTTGTATTCTGGAAATTATCATGCCAATAGTACAGAACGTTACGCTGGAAATTCGAGTAATCAGGGTATTACACCCGGCTTATTTGGGCACTGTCTCTTTGCCTTTGCAAAATTGCATCCTGGTTGACTTGCTGTACAAAACTTTCTAGGTAATCTCAGCAGCGAGGATGCTTATTAGGGGAAGAAGTCGTCGTTAGGAAGATGCATGCCTGCTAACATGTGGGGAAATTATATGCGCCACTAGATTGACGCTCCCTGCCAATAACTTCCAGCGGGCCTCGCGGCGAGCGCGAGGAAGCATCTCAAGGTCAGTCAATGGAAATGCATTACAGATACCGCCAGTCCGGAATGACGGAGGAACATGCTCGCTTTTTCTTCGAATCTCTCGCAACTGAAACTGCTTCTTGACTGCCTTGCACTCGCTTTCCGATTGAGATCCTGTCGCACTAATCGCGAGAACGCACGCACCGCGAGACACTATGGCCGGGTGTGATCAACTGGTGGCACGCGTGCGCGTCGTGCTGCTGCTGCTCCTCTGCGAGGCCATCGCGAGAGGCGAGGCGGCGCTGCTCGTCTACAGCGGCGGCTACTTCTACACCCCCGGTAAGCCGCCAGTAAGCCGCTGTCGCCTCTCCGCGTGCTCGTTCGGGAGACCGCGGTCATCATGGTGGTCGCCTGCTTGCGCGCGCCCCGCAACACGCCCGTCGCCCGCATGCAATCACCGCCGTTTCTCAGAAATGCTTGCGATGCGGTCCGCTCCTCGCCTTCTATATCCTTTCGCCCGCGCGACTCAACCACAACACGCCGTGCTGGAACGTGCCTGCCATTCGCCCGTCCCGCAGTCTGAATGCGCCACCCAAAGTCTCTCGCTATACTCTCACATGCCCCTTCCATCTCACGGAGCCCTTCGCTAGGAGGCGCGGGTCTCGCTGTCGGGTTCGTTAGCGCGTGTCCGTACTAGCGTGTCCCGCACGTCTTTGCAGTTGCGGCGCGTCTAAGCAGTTCCCTGTGCGGCGTGCCGTGTGCAGACTACAAGTACCGCACGCCGTGGTGGGGCGCGCTGCTGCTGCTGCTGGGGCTCGTGTCGGTCGTCATCGCGCTCATCATGTGCTGCTGCAACTGCCTCGGCGCCTGCTGCGACTGCTGCTGCCCGCGGCGCAACACAGTGAAGGTCGTTCACGAGCGCTCGCCCGTGTAGCTCCGCGCCTGCCGCCTGCCTCGATCGCCCGCTCGCACAACGCGGCATTGGTGGTCGCCCGTGGGACAGTACCTTCTTCGAGTAGTTCTCCTGTATTGTATCTGGTGTTTATGACTGAATAGTGACTAGTATTCCTGTCAAATACAGTATATTGAATCTTGCAAGGTTATGAGCCGTTTGAAGGGAAAAGCGGTTTTATTTCATTGTGCATTTAGAAAAAATAATATGTTGACTTCATGTGGAAGCTGTATGTATGAAGCCCTTTGTACCTTCTTTCTTGATATACGGTACCATAGCAGAACACATACTGTGCAAACTTTCAACTTTAAACATGCAACCATGCTAGTTTAGATACGAATGTTACGGTACTTTGACATTTGGTCAGTGCACTCTTCATGGCACTTGCTTCTGTGTTTGGCTGCACGAAATAGAGAAATGTATTTTGGCATTCGGTCCTGTAATTACACTTGTATTGTATCCCCTTGCATACTTTCCCGTTATCCCCCATGTAGTCATCCTTC